ACAGTCTCACTATGTTGCCCTCGGTGGAGTGCCATGGTGTCACACAGCTCACAGCAACCTCTAGCTCTTGGGCTTAGGGGATTCTCTTGCCTCAGTCTCCTGAGTAGCTGGGACTATGGGTGCCTGCCAAACGCCTGGCTATTTTTTGTTGCAGTTTGGCCAGGGGTGGGTTTGAACCCACCACCCTCAGTATATGGGGTCAGCACCCTACTCACTAAGCCACAGGTGCCACCCACCTTCTACTTTTTTTTTTTTTATCTTCTTTACTCTCTCTCTCTCTCACATACATACAGTATATATATATAATTAGATATAATTACATATTTAAATTATGTATATGTGATTTATTATGCACTATGTTTTATGTTATAATAGATATATAAATCAAACTTGATCTGGGATTATCTTTGTTGCAAGATTTTTATTTTGAATTCAGTTTATTTGATGAATATGCTATTTTTACGTCTTTCATGGTTTCTTTCCTCTGTTCTCTTGTGTTAGTAAATTGATAATTTGTATTTTATGATGAATGCAGCCATTTCCTCTAAGCTATGGAGTTTATCGGCATAACTGGGATTTCTACTAATGTCTCGTTTTTATTCTCATTGGTAATATTTTCTTTTCTTTTTTAAAATTATCTTGCTGGTTTAGGTCAATGTTGTCAACCTCTTCTAAAATCCAACTTTTGATTTTGTGTATTTTTTCTACTATTTGATTTCTGCTCTTAGGTTGATAAGTTCTTTTTTCTGTTTTCTTTGGGTTTGATTTGCTTTTTTATTCTTTGCTAGCTTTTTATATATCATGTTTTTATGACTGATTTCAAAGCATATTTTGTTTCAGTCTGACCCACCATAAAAACATAGATGCACCACTTTTTTTTTTTTTTTTTTTTTTTTTCAGTTTTTGGCCAGGGCTGGGTTTGAACCCACTACCTCTGGTCTATGGGGCTGGCGCCCTACACTTTGAGCCACAGGTGCCGCCCTAGACACACCACTTTTTATAACATGAGTTGTGCTTTGTTTTCTTTTCATTCATCTGAAAACATGAGCTCTTTTTTTCTTGTGATTTCTTTTTCTTCAATGCATATGATTTTTAATTTCCAAAACGTTTAGCGTTTCTTAAATGTTTTGCTTTTATTTGTTTATACTGAAATGTAGTGTGGTTGGAGAATATGTTTAGTATGATTTAAATTAAAAGCTTTTGATAATTAAGGTCAGTTATACAGACTATCTTGGTAAGATTCTGTGAGCACAAAAATTATATGTATTCTGCATTTATTAAAGTTGTGTTACATAACTGTAAATTAGATTGGGTTGGTTAAAAGTGTCGTGGTTCTGTGCAAATCCTTTGCAGCTGTTACTCTAATTTTTTGGTCAGTTTATTCTGTCAGCTAAGGAAAGGGAAGAGTTTGTATCAGGGGTCCTCACACTTTTTAAACCGGGGGCCAGTTCACTGTCCCTCTGACCATTGGAGGGGGAGACCCGGGCCCCGGGCTGAGTTGGCTGCTAAGCAGGACAGGCAGCAGCAGCAAAAACACCCCAGTGGGCCAGATAAATGTCCTAGGCGGGGCCACATGTGGCCCGTGGGCCATAGTTTGAGGACGCCTGGTTTGTATCTACAATTATAATTGTGGATTTAAAAAGAAATCCACAGTGTTTTCACAGTGAATTCATTTTTCTATATACACTGCCTGTTTATGTTTGGTATATTCTTTGTCTTCCTCTAATTTATAGGCAAGCAGATTTTTTTTATGCTCAGTGTTTTTATTACTTATTTTTTTATGCCTTTCGCAATTTCAGCTGTCCATGTTTTTATTTTCAAAGTATGTTTTTTAATGATTTATCTAGGACCTATTTTAGGCAAATTAACAATCTTTGCCTTTAATTTTACATTCCATTTATGTTTGAGGTTTTTGATATATTATAGGATTAAAGCTGCCATCTAGGCATTGATTTTATATTTTCCCAAAAGGTCCATCATCTCTATTCTTTTGATACTGGTGAACTTCTTTCATTATCCCTTACCTGTGATAATTTTTTTAGACTTTTTTACCTGTAAATATTTTTAAGCTCATTTTGAAGGATAGTTTTGTTAGTTATAAAATTCTTCATTATAGATTATTTTCCTTTTTTATTTGTGAATTTTAAATATGTTGTTCTGTTGTTTGGCCTTAATTATTTGTGAATTCAGAAGCAGTTTGTGTGGTTATTTTCCATGTAAGTGTTGTCTTTTTAATGGTTTTTCTCTTTCTATTTGGCAATCAATATCTGGATGTAATTGCTTTAGTGTTTATTGCTCCTTGATCTTTTTAGATCATTAATGTCACCAAATCTTTAATATTTTCAGCTGTTATTACCTCCAATAATTATTTTAACCCATTATCCTTTTCCTGTTAGGAATCCAATCATGATTATTTAAGTACAATCCCTGATATTTCTGACTTCCTATTCTGTTCATTTAGCTTTTCTTATTTGTCTGAGTTTAGACTTTTTTCTGTTAGTCTTCAAGTTCGCTGACACTTTTTCTTCCGTGTACACTCTTCTGTTAAGTACATTTAATGATTTCTTTATATTTCAGAGCATTTATATTTTAAAAATTGTTTCCACATCTCTGCTGCTCCCAGCTACTCTGGAGGCTGAAGCAGGAGTATCCCTTAAGTCCAAGGGTTCATGACCTAAGCAACGTAATGAGACCCTTGTCTCTAATTTATTAGTCAGGCCTGGTGGCTTGAGCCTGTGGTTGTAGTTACTCAGGAGCCTGAGGTGGAAGGATTGCTTAAATGCAGGATTTCAAGGCTTCAGTGAGCTATGATTGCAGCACTGCCCTCTAGCCTGGGGAGCAGAGCAAGAGGTCATCTTGTGTGTGTGTGTGTGTATACACTTATCTGTAGATACATCACCTCCACTGTTCTCCATCCATTTTTAAAGGTTTGTTTCCTCTATCTGATTTTGTTGTCCTGTAGCCAAAAGAGAATATCCTTTAAATCTCCTTTAGCACAAGTCTGGCAATAATGAAAGTCTTGTTTCCTTTAAAAAGTCTTTACCTTATTTTCATCTTCTATGAATGTAACTCCACTTAGGATGAGGAGTTTCCCTTCCGTCCTGCCTTATCTCGAGACCTTCGCCGCCTCTTCCATCTCCTTCTACTTACAAAGGGAAGTCAGCAAGGAGGCAGCGGCCTTCCCTACTGTTCAGGTGCACTCTGCCCATTCCTGTGACTGCTTCTGAGACAGCTTTTCTCGGGTTATCAGCAGTTTGATTATGGTGTGTCTTGGTGTGATTTTCTTATGTTGAGTTTGGTTTGTGTTATAGATTAGTATTCTTCATATAATATTTGGAAAATTGTCTTTATTTTTCATATACATTTCTTCCTCACTGCTGTCTACCCATACTGGGTTGTACGTGTGTGTGTGTGTGTGTGGGTGGGTGGGCACGCTGAGCACACGTGTACGTTTCTGTGTTTGACTTCTAAATATTATCCACAGCTCATGCTCTGGATTTTTGCTCCCTTTCCTTTCATCCCTTTTCTTCAGTGTTTGAAGGTGGTTGGCATCTTTTATGACCCTATCTCCACCTCCATAGGTTACTGAGGTTCTGGCTTCATGAACTCTCTCCTCTCTGATACGCTGCCCCACTAATTCAGGCCACCTGAGTCCGTTCTCCAGCCTCCATTGCTTCAGTTTAACAGGACAATTCGTGCTTGGCTTGTTTCCCCTCCCTCTGCTGTGGTTTGGACAGTGTCTCCAGGAATGAACAGAGGGTTCACTATCCTCAGGATTACATGTCTGTGTTCGATCGGTTCCAATACCTAAAAACTGTGTTTTATGTACTTTTGTACTTTTGCCATTGTTTGTTGTGGAAGAGCTAGTCCAATACTTGTCATGCACAGAAGATTTTACCTATATTCATTGATAAAGATAATTCTTCTTAATTACAACCACATTGAATATGGTATAAACTAGGCATATAAAATTCACTGTTACAAAAAATAGACTCTATATAGAAAACTAGGCACAGTATTTCTGGTAAAATTCCATATCTCACATTTATGTTCAAATACAATTTGAGTGATTTTCGCAGCTATTATCCCTACTGGTGTTTAAGATTTCATGCAAGGCGTGAGAACTTTAATCACATATGTAGTGTTTCTATTTTTTGAAGATAGATTTCAATAGCATATACTCAAGATCAAATTGCAAAATGAAATTATCAAAGTGTTTGTTTTCAAAATCAAATTTGGATGAATATCTATGCATTAAGATTTTGAGGGAAAGAAAACAGAGTATGGTATCGTGTTGAAATACTTGAGTATCTTGATGTTTTCCATAAATTATCTTCAAAAATCCACATTTATATCTAGTACAATATTCTAATGTAGGGAACTTGACGCTCTCGTGGCAAGTTTTCAGCCTTATTATTTTTGAGCATAAGTTACTACATTTCCAGTTAGGGTGTGAAAGTTAAACTATGTCAAGTGAGTTTATAAAGATGAAAAAATTAATCAATAATTAATTGACTTGAATGTTTATGCTGCAAGGTTAACTCAATAGCAAATACTATCCTCTGCTGTTTCTGTATAGGCTACTGGATTGAACTACTTGTAAATCTTTAAATATGCCTCTTGTAGTATGAACTTCATTATAAAAAGAATATCATTCAGGGTTTAAGGGACATTTTCCTGAACTCCTTTTCCCACCAGTCTACGTTGGCTGTCACCTTTTTCATATACCCTTGGAGTTCCCTGGAATGTTTCAAAAATGGCACTTAAAGAATTATTATTTTTTTACTCTTTTGTTTTTCCAATTTCATCCTATGAAACCACGAATGATACATTATTCATCCCTAATGCCCATTGGTAAAGAATGAATATAAACACTCATTTGCTATATGAACAAAAATATTTCCATATTCAAAATTACATGAAAATCTTATTCTAGTAGGAATAGCAACGGTGATTAAATGACTGGATGCTAACATTATGTTTTGTGTCTTCTCTTGCAGGCTCTTAAATCTGATTTACAATGGAAAAATTTCTTTTTTATTTGCTTTTCATTGGCATAGCAGTGAAAGCTCAGATCTGTCCAAAGCGTTGTGTCTGTCAAATTTTGTCTCCTAATCTTGCAACCCTTTGTGCCAAGAAAGGGCTTTTATTTGTTCCACCAAACATTGACAGAAGAACTGTGGAACTGCGTCTGGCAGACAATTTTGTTACAAATATTAAAAGGAAAGATTTTGCCAACATGACCAGCTTGGTGGACCTGACTCTGTCCAGGAATACAATAAGTTTTATTACACCTCATGCGTTTGCCGACCTGCGGAATTTGAGGGCTTTGCATTTGAATAGCAACAGGTTGACTAAAATCACAAACGATATGTTCAGTGGTCTTTCTAATCTCCATCATTTGATATTGAACAACAATCAGCTGACTTTAATTTCTTCTACAGCCTTTGATGATGTGTTTGCCCTTGAGGAGCTGGATCTGTCCTATAATAATCTAGAAACCATTCCTTGGGACGCCGTGGAGAAGATGGTTAGCCTGCACACCCTGAGTCTGGACCACAATATGATCGACAACATTCCTAAGGGGACTTTCTCCCACTTGCACAAGATGACTCGGCTAGATGTAACATCCAACAAATTGCAGAAGCTACCACCTGACCCTCTCTTTCAGCGAGCTCAGGTACTCGCCACCTCAGGAATCATAAGCCCATCTACTTTTGCATTAAGTTTCGGCGGAAACCCTTTGCATTGCAACTGTGAGTTGTTGTGGTTGAGGCGACTGTCCAGAGAAGATGACCTGGAGACCTGTGCTTCTCCTGCACTCTTAACTGGCCGCTACTTTTGGTCCATTCCTGAGGAAGAGTTCTTGTGCGAGCCCCCTCTCATTACTCGTCACACACACGAAATGAGAGTCCTGGAGGGTCAGAGGGCGACACTGAGGTGCAAAGCCCGGGGAGACCCTGAACCTGCAATTCACTGGATTTCTCCCGAAGGGAAGCTGATTTCCAATGCAACGAGATCTCTGGTGTATGATAATGGAACCCTGGACATTCTCATCACCACTGTCAAGGATACGGGTGCTTTTACCTGCATTGCTTCCAATCCAGCGGGGGAAGCAACCCAGACCGTGGATCTTCATATAATTAAGCTCCCCCACTTACTGAACAGTACAAACCATATCCACGAGCCTGATCCTGGTTCTTCAGATATCTCCACTTCTACCAAGTCAGGGTCAAACGCTAGCAGCAGTAACGGTGACACGAAAATGAGCCAGGATAAAATTGTGGTGGCAGAGGCAACGTCCTCAACGGCACTGCTTAAATTCAACTTTCAAAGAAATATCCCCGGGATACGTATGTTTCAGATCCAGTACAATGGTACTTACGATGACACCCTTGTTTACAGGTAAGAAAGATTAAGCAACGTTGTGTACTTGCCAGGCATCTTCATGTAGAGCTTGTTAATGGACTACTGATATTTCTTTAATTGGCAGTGCTTCTCTGTTGTAATTCTAGTACTCCATTTTGTAAAGTGGATAATGTAAGACTTTTAAGAGGTGGTGAATATGTGCGGGAAAATACTTTGAATGGTGTTTTTAGAGCATTCAGATTTGTAGTTAATATTATGTTTACTTACGTTTTGTTCCCCTCATCTAAGAGATGTGACTATCAGAGAACAAGACTGACTTATTTTAAAAATTCAAAAACATACCAGAACTTTCACAGCCACGTGAGTGTTCTTTCCTTCAAGGAAGTCACGTTGGGAAGCTATTCCATGTCCCAATGGTGCTGCCATTGCTCAAAGCAGTTTTGGAATTATCTTAGAACCTTCATCATACTATTTTGAATATCCTCATTGGTGGCAAATCTTCGTCTTTTGAGGGTGAATTTGAATTTTGGAAACAAGCAAAAGCCATTTGGAGTCAAGTCTGGTGAATAAGGTGGGTGATCAAGATGGGTATTGCCATTTGTGGTTAAAAATAGGATGTAACTGTAAAATAATGAGACTGATTTTTCTGAGTGATTGAGGTGTGTATGTATGTGTGTGTTGTCTCATGTGCACTGGTTCTTAAGACAGTTCCAAGAAAAAAGTTTACAAATATTTTGAGCAGTGAAGGTGTCACTGGAGTGAAGTATGTCATCTCCTTTCCAGGCAAGAATAATTATGTACAATTTGCATCTGCTAAAGAATTTCTGGTATGTTTTTCTAAAGTTCAGCCTCATTGATTTATAGTCACATCTTGTCCAATTTTCAGTTGGAAACACACTTTTACTCCTTCATAGAATTTCATTTGTTATAGGTTATTATTACCCATAGGAAATGATGCAAAATCATGGCTTTGAATTTTTTTTTTTTTTTTTTGTCTTTAAGCTTTTTGGAAATCAGATCAAATCTGTTCATATATAGTCACAGGTGAATTCTTGAATATAGTTTGATTCTACTTCTGTAAATGAGAATAATTTAAAAAAAAAAAGCATGGGCTAGTAGGAAAAACTGAAACTTTCCTGGCTAGCCATACGACCATCCTAGGCAAGGTTCAGAGGTTTAATTTTCTCATTGTTACAAGGAAGAGATTAGGCTTAGTGGTTTCTAATAATCCTCTTATCATTAAATATATGGGGACATAGCCTATAATACACGTATATTAGCATAAAGAGCTTTGCTCTCATCCTACCAGGCTCTTCGTGTAACCCCAGAGGTATTAAATCTTTACCTTTCAGGAGCCACTGGACTGGACTATCTACATAGCACATTAGCTCTGCAAAATAAGTCAGGTTTTATTTTCCAGATACGAAGATTTTAAGGCTTTCATGGTAGTAAATTCTGTGTGACCTTGCGGAAACTGCTTGAATCTACAACCTTCATTTTTCTCATACTTAAAATAGTGATAAAGCCTGTCTCATTGTAAACATTAAATTTTAACGTATTTAAAGTTCTTAGTAATCTCTGGAATTTATCATGCACTTGCTGCATGGTGGTGATTTCAGTCTTGATTATAAACTCTTAAAGTTGCCTGGTCCATCTAGAACACCTTGTTTACGTTCTGTAATAGATAAGTATTGATAAATTTTGAAATATGTATAATTCACTTTCAGGAATGAAAATATGGTTTTAAGTCTTGTTTTTTCCCCCAAATTAAATTTCATTTAGGTCATGTTTAGTTGCAACTGAAAACAAAAGTTAGTGGAGAATAGCCGTCCACATACACACAGCACTTTTAGAATATAATGATTCAGACTTCTAGACATTCAGAACATGTGCTCTGGAGAACATTTGCATTAATACACAACGAGACAAGGGATTTGTACTCAGGGCAACAACCTGGCCTTGTTCAAATACCCAAGCTCATGTTACTCATATAGTTTTATCATCTTCATTTATAGATGAAAGTATCCTGGGGACCAAATGTTAAAGGCATTAGAAAGGGATGAGATATGTAAATAAAACATTTTAATCTCATTATCAATCTTAGTTATTAAAGGTAGATGTAGTGGATGCCATTCCATACCAGCTTCATGCTGATTTGGGGAATAAATCCTCTAAAACGCATATCTGTTCTGATCTCCAAGGTGACCGTCCACATTTTCCACTCCTTCCAACTGGCTCTTAGTCATTGAGAGGCCGCAAGTGCTAAGTGGATTTGTTTAGTAGTTAGATATTGTCACAGTCACACCTTTCAAAAGCAATTTGTCAAAAACAATTTTTTAGCAGTGGCTTTTACTTGGAGTCCTGCTTTGCCAGGCCGTGTAATTAGTAAGCTTGTTAAGGCACACTGCAGGCACCATTAATATCATGCAGACTCCAGTAGTGACTTTTAGGCTTTTGAACGGGGTAGATATAAGATGAGATCATTTCCCATATTTCATATCTGTTACGAATGTGCTTGTCTTAGTGGATACTAACACGAGGTAGAGACGTGATGACTTTCTGTGTCCATGTTTGGCTTTAAATATTAATACAGATTCCATTGTCCTTCAGGATGATTCCTCCTACGAGCAAAACCTTTCTGGTCAACAATCTGGCTGCTGGAACTATGTATGACTTGTGTGTCTTGGCCATATATGACGATGGCATCACGTCCCTCACTGCCACGAGAGTTGTGGGCTGCATCCAGTTTACGACGGAACAGGATTACGTGCGGTGCCACTTCATGCAGTCCCAGTTCTTGGGAGGCACCATGATTATCATCATCGGTGGCATCATTGTAGCTTCTGTGCTGGTTTTCATCATCATCCTTATGATTCGGTATAAGGTTTGTAACAATAATGGGCAGCACAAGGTCACCAAGGTCAGCAACGTGTATTCTCAAACTAACGGGGCTCAAATCCAAGGCTGCAGCGTCACACTGCCCCAGTCTGTGTCCAAACAAGCCGTGGGCCCTGATGAGAGCACCCAGTGTAAAGCGGCCAGTGACAGTGCCATCCAATCCTCAGAAACTTGTTTGAGTCAGGACTCCTCCTCCACTACCTCTGCTTTGCCTCCTTCTTGGACTTCAAGCGCTTCTGTGTCCCAAAAGCAGAAGAGAAAGACGAGCACAAAGCCAAGTCCCGACCCACAGAGTGAAGCGGTCACGAGTGTCGAGTCCCAAAACACTAACAGGAACAACTCGACCGCACTGCAGCTGGCCAGCCGACCTCCCGACTCCATCCCCGAGGGGCCCACACCCAAAAGAGCACACACACAGCCAAGTAAGTTTCTCACTTTGCCTGCTGAGAGAGCCAGAGCAAGACACAGGTACTCCCTCGATGGAGAATGTAAAGAATACTATGGTTCTATTAACTCACCGAACACAGGCGGACGGTTTTCTAAACGAAGCATGTCTGTGAATGGGATATTCATTCAGTCTGACGGCTGTGATGGTCATAGTGGAAAAGCAACTCTTTCACATTCTGAGTGGATATTGGAAAGCTCTGTGTAATTTATTATTTCTCTGAAATGAAAAATCATTCTGAGAACTCATATAGGGAATTGGAATTTGCAATTCTAGCCTTGTCTCTCTGATATATGGCTTAGTAGAGCCCAGATTGTGTATAAACCTTCTAGGGCATATATTTCAACAGGTGCATATATATATATATATATATACACACACACACACATATATATATATATATGTTGGAAGGTGACATAAATAAAATGGTGAAGGGGGAAAAAAGCATGGCGTAGCAGCAGTGCCTTTCCCTGTTCTAGGAAACAGATTTCTGGGTTCTGCAACAGCAGATCGCCAAATGAAAGGGGAAGTAAATTCTTACATAAGAAATGAAATTTTCTCCAGTTTTACAAAGAACCACCTATGGATAATTGGTATTTTTTAATGAGTAGACGGAATATTTTCTTTCGATGGCAGTGATGTTGCCCTTGTTTTTCGGAAAATGTTGTAGAGGATAACCTCATGCTGTTATGGTATTCAAAATAGTCCATTAGTTTGCCCAGACAATAATAAAATCAGCATCCTTCTGAACAACATCTTCGGTTCAGGTGCCTTAATAGTTCTAAGATATTTCCCTTCTGTGATACAGTTTTTTTCCAGTGGAAAGAAAAAATTCTATTCATTTTGCAGTTATCAAATTTTCCAATCGGTTTTAAGTCACAGACTGCAATCCCAAATGCATCTACTTGGGCATATGGAAGTACATTCATTGAATGCACAGTTCCTGAATGTATGGATTTTACATTTCTCTTAATGCAAGTTAAGGAACGAAACAAAAATACAAAATTTCCCTTATATCAAGGGGTATTAATTATTATCACCAAGTAAAAGTAAAATAAAAAACAGAATTCTAATGGAGTTCTCATTATATTTCTAAGTCGTATAAGCTCATTGTTCATTAACCAGCTAGTGTTTTTTATTATTTTTTCACACTATACTTCTGCATTTGAATTTTTTTTCTTAAAGTAAATGCACTTATTATTCTAACCAAAACCTGTGATGAATGCAATTAAAAATCAGGCATCTCAAAGAGGATGTATTATTTTAAAAATGGATTTTAAAATGAGAAGATGTTGTTCCTTGGTGATATGGCATTCTTGGTAATTCACTGAAATCGAGGTTTATAGATAACTGTTTTCTGTCTCCTCGCTGAAAACCTAATTATACGCTGACTTGGTTTTTTAATGAAGATCCATAAATGGGGTTAATATGAAGGGTGTTTGAGAACTTAGACCCATTACCTTACACAAAAGAACATGAAATTTAGCCATAATACAATAGGTACTTTACTATCTTGTGTAAATTATTCCCTGGGAATAAGTTAAACACACAGTAAAAGAATATTGACTCTTTCAGATCACTTGAAATACCACTTAAAACCTACGAGATTGATCGCGATGTCATTCAGTAGAGTGGAAGATTAAAGCAGTCAATGGTTACTTTCAGGGCCAGTCTTAGAAAAATTACCCAATGGGTTTTCAATATCTTAGGCATTTCCTAACATCGTTTCTCTGCTCTGCTTTACTCTCTGAAAAGTTTGCCTATCACATTTGTAAAGCTTCATCACCCATCATTGTTCGGGTCTGTAGTTTTTGTGAGGAATACATGAGATCACACATGGAGTAGTTTGTGAAATCCAAGCACTACTTGAAGTAATGTGTATTTTCAACACTATTACTGTAATAATGTTCTAATCTCAATGAAATATTTTCAATTAACGTCAATTGCATATTTCCTCGCCAGGTGCTGATAGTCAAAAGCGTATTACTATTCCTCTTCCTAGACTTATCACGACAGTATTAAAAAATCTTGAACATGCAAAAGCTTACAAGATTTAAAGCTTCAAGAAATGTACCCATAGAGAAAGAATTTCTGGTAGTATGAAGGCTGTGATCAAAGATAAACTGAGTTCACACAACACAGAGAGCATCCTAGCTAATCTACTACAAGCTATTCATGAAGTAATTTTGTATTTTGTTTGTTAACATCCATGCCCTGTGTATGTTCTTAAAGAGACTTTGATTAAATACCTTTTATTTTTCATAAATATTTAAAACTCTATGATGTCTAACCATGTGAAATTTATTTTGTTTGACTAAAGCCATTGAAAATTTAATTTTTTTATTGACTTTCTCAGGCCATTTTCCAGGTATTCAAACCAAATGTTTAAAGACTTGTTCTTTAAAATTATAGATAGCTGAATTTCTGACCTGTGTTTACCTGTTTTAAAGTTAATAATTTGAGAGAACAAACGATAGTCTTATTAAGAAGGTCAAGTGGTTTTTTTGTTTGTTTTTGTTTTGAGACAGTCTCATTTTGTTGCCCCTGGGTAGAGTGCTATGGTATCATAGCTCACAGCAACCTCAGACTCTTGGGCTCAAGTGATTCTCTTGCCTCAGCTTCCCAAGTAGCTGGGATGACAGGTGCCCACCACAACATCTGGCTATTTTCAGAGGCAGGGTCTCGATCTGGCTCAGGCTGTTCTGGAACTTTGAGCTCAGGCAATCCACCTGCCTCACCCTCCCAAAGTATGGGCATGCGCCACTGTGCCCAACTGGTCAAGTGGTTTTGTATTTGTTTATAAATATATGAGGAATGTTTATCCACAGAGCAGTTGCAGTATGAAATGACAAAAATAAATCTATGGGAAAATTGGGGATAATGTCACCTATTATAATGTCTGAAACATAGTCTATGTTTAGATGAGGGAAGAAGTAAATGGATAGATAAATAAATAAATGGGGCCTGAGAGGAAGATAGGGAAAGAAGAATTTTGATTAGTTAGCAAAGTAGAGATTTATGACCTACGTATTATATTACAAGGTAGAAATATTCTGTTCTTTTCTTACTTTTCTTTCCACCGTTTATTGGAATCCTCATTTAATTAGCCAATTGTCAATCTAAGTGATCTATAGTATGTGGTTTGCTGTGGCTTGTTGCTGACATATGCAGATTATATATATATATATCATTTTTATATGCAGATTATATATATCATTTTTACTTCCTTGCTCTTAATGTCCTTTTCCTTTCCAGCCATATTACATTAAGATTTCAGCATGTCGTATGTGAAAACTGACTAATCATAGATTTGTCATGAAGCGTGTTTGAACGTGTATTTACTTCAGACATTTAAACAATAATATGTCTTCTTGTCCTGTTTTTGTTCCTTTTGAATAGCTGTTCCCCAGTTGAACATACCAAACTACTATTTATTACGGGAACATCATAATTGGATAATCAAGCATCTAAAGCTGTATCAAAATTGTAAGAAGCAGCACATTTTAGTTTGATGGATATTATTTATTTTTATTCTAAAAATACACAAATATAAAGTATTGCAGGTATAATTTAAATTAGATGCAGGAACGCTCACATTGCAACTAATTTTTTCCTTTAATAATGGAGTCAGTAGAGTTTGCAGTAAGCTATTTTTGTCTTTAAACAGTGGATTTCACTGAGTTTGTGAATGTATTTTATTTTTAAAAGTTTTAGAACATAAATTTTGACGTATTCTGACAAATCTCTAAACATAACAAGTCGACTCATGGAAAGATGCATATTTTCTCCATAATTTAACGAATAATTTAAAATTTAAATGTATTCAATTGATGTATGGGAATTTCTTTATCTTCTTCTTCTTTTTTTTTTTTTGGTGAATTATTTTCTCTCCAATTGAAAATCATTCATAAAGTACTTGTTTCCAAAATAAATTTTGATTCTTTAATTCAGTTATATCCTGAGAAGAAACTATTTCCAAAGTTCGCATTGCCTTTTAGTTCCTAAATTTAACAATTTCTCTTGCATTTCTTGACCAAAATAAACAATCCTTAAAGTGTCAAGAGTTAAAAATACTCATAACTTATAAGCATCTTCTTGTAGGTAGAGTTGTGCAGTGTGCACCTGAGCACCGCCTTCAAAGAAGACAGCAGACACAAGCTCATTGTCTTTTTGGCGTGATTGATTTCCACCTAAATTTTATAACGCTCCGAAAATGATGCTCACGTATATTAGGCAAAAGAAACACTGTCTACCTTCTTTCCCTTGTTCACTCTTCCTTGTATCTCAAGAAGAGTGAAATCGCCTTAGATATACATGCCTTTGCTATGAGCTCATGTAAGTGTCTTGGGGAAGAGACTTCAGTATAGAGCTGGATTTTATGTGAAAGTGATTTTTTTTTATCCCCCTAGATTGATAATAAAACTAACAATGTATCCTTTGATGATAGTTATAATAATTAAATGTATGGAAAAAATATGTCATTTTTAAAATGGCATAACCAAAACCAATAACTGGATTTTTACAAGTTTCAAAGGGCAGATTAACAGTTCTCTCCTTCCCATGCTAGATAGATATATTCCGGGATTATAAATATAATTAGTTTCTGAGGTCTTTGTCTTTTTCTCTTTTATTTAGTTATTTTACTTTTTTTTTTTATTACAGAAATCAATCCTAGTAGCAGGATAGATCAACTAAAATACAGAGAGGTAAACATAACAAGTCTCCTAAAAATGCGGTTTTCTTTGAAGTGAGATATAAATGACAGTTTTTAACTGGGAATATATTTAATATTAAATTACTTCACTAAGGTAATGTTAATGCATTTGCAATTGTATCAAATTAGGTAAATGCTGAAGTCAACATACCATTGTCTTCAGATTATGTTCAACTATTACAAAGTCCAAACATAGGATATAAAGTTAATATGGAATCATATATATGTACTATATAAATATATGTACTATATAGATATCTATATCTTCATAAGATCAATCCATTAAAATGAAAATTTTGTGTCCAACAATCCAGATTATAATTAACATAAGAATTAAGTTTAAATGGATGGGCTGTCAGAGAACTTTCCCCAGAAATTCTGTAAAATTGAACTTGTTAATTATCAAAAAACAATGAAATCTAATATCTGTAATACAAATTAATTTTTGTTTGCATTTCCTAATGATAACCATCTCAACAACTTGATGAAACTCATCTGTTTATTTTTAAATTACTATTATGTTCATGAATTTTAAAAACAAACCCAACCTATTTTCCACTACATTCAGGAGAAAGCCAAGAAGGGCCTTTCATTTAAAGTAACTGTGTTTGGAAGTGTTTTTATCTTTAATCTTATCTGATATCTCTATGGAGATACTGAGGTTTGGGCTAGAATATGTCTAGTAAATGATAGAACATGAGCAAAGGTGGAGTTTATGAAATACACCATGTTGGCTGTATCATAATACAATTCCCTCCTCATTTTTTCTCTATGATGTGAGCATGTCTTAGTATTGCTTCCCCATAAAATCTAATCTTGAGGCAATTGTAAATTTACATGACTATTCTGATGATTTTGTAAAAAAGTTTTTTTTTTTTTTGGAGTCATTACATCCATCTGTGACCCCTGTAAGCAAATTATCCTTTAGATACCTAAGTATCACCTCGAAGTGATTAGAAATATTTGCATAAGAAGAAAACACTTTGGACAGCAATAAACTGTGTAAGCTCATGTAATGGTATTAAGCATGTATGGGCAAGTGGAACTTACAGACCTTTCAAAGCAGAATGTTTATATTTAGAATGTTATTGTTTCACAAATGGTGAATGGGTACTTGGTCAAACATGTCACGACGTGGGGAAAGAGTACTGGATGATGATTATTTCTAGTGATTACTTTATACTCCACGCAGTGAAGATGGTTAAGCTGTATGGGGTTCTGTGGTTTCTTTGTCCCTTGATGTATTTTTTTCCACGTTGATCATGTGAAACTGTATAGCTGAAATGTCAACACTATGTAGGGAAAATGGCCAGAAACCTGATTAACTTATTTTAACACTGGCAGGAATGGAATATTCCATATTGAAAACCACTCATTTTGGTTACTAGAATGGTATTTTTAAAAAATTTTACTCTACCTGTTATATATCAGGGAGTAGCCATAGAGAACTAGAAATATCAGAAAAGTCAATGGCAAGTAACCTAAGAACTGGTAAGTCAAGAACAAGTTTGGATGAATCTTTGTTAATTCTTGGTAAGGCAGCTTGCCAAGATTTCATTAATAAATGATTTAGGATCTGTTTCTTAAAATAAGAAAAATGAATTGTTGATGACACTTAAAATTTTATTCCCAGATGCTTTGCTGACTAATGTTGACCAGAATGTCCAGGAGACACAGGTGAGATTCTTATTACCTGTCCTATACCTCAACACTTAAGTGGTTATATTCCTTTACAAATAAATTTTAAGTTTTGGTTTGCTAGTTTACGTAGCTTGTTGAAATTTTCACTTAAAACATACTTGGAATGCTGGACAGTGCTGATTGAAGTTACATTTGGTTAAGTGAAAGTTCAATTTCTAAATTTAGACATACTCAGGTTGATGAAACATTTCCGAATTGTATAAGTAATAAAACTAATGAAAAGTAATACTAATAAATGTTAGGTGGGATGTTGGAGTCATTCTTGTAGCCATATATGAAATAATGAGCATTTGAAACTATTTCCAAACAAGAAGATAGCAGCTTGCTAATAATATATGTAGTCTTGTCCTTGACCTCTGCATCCTAATAGAAGCTGAGATGATGCATTATGCCTCATTGGAAATGGATGAGCAGAAGTGTCTTGCTGTTATCTAAAATGAATGAAGTCTCTTTAAAATGGAGCAAAAGACTACACATGAAATATTCATAGTATTCCTTTTGTCAGCAACCAATTACTCTTCTTGAGTGTTTTTTTTTTTTTTTGGAAGTTTCAAATGAGTATTTGATTCCTGCATTTTAATTGGATGGGAAAGTGTGTTTCCAGAGCAGAGCAGCACTTTAGCAATCTGTTCAAACAGCTGGAAGCAGCAGCCATTTGCTTGAGGTTTGGCACACAAAAAAAATTCTGCTTTTAACAGTTCTAAAAAGGACCATTGATTTATTTGTTGGTAGGTAAAAATAGGATCTTGTATTTTAACATTCCATATTTAAAAAAAAAAATAACTTCCTCACTCTTTCAGGATCTTCCCTAATGAATTCCATATCCAAATCAAGAAAAAAAACATTTTTATATATCATTTCTTTACTGAATTTAGGAGCCCATTCTTACATTGCAAGGAAAGAACAGATGGCCCTCTGAAAACAATAACACAGTGTCTGGCACACGCTTTGTGTTCTGTTGTGTGTACTGAACTGACTTGCACGAAGGTGCCTTATCACCACCACCCTCTTTTTTCTCTCTCAATCTTACCTTCTCTCCCCTCTATCTCTTTCTCTCTTAATCTTAACCTCTATCTTTCCCTCCCTCTCTGTTCCCATTTTCTGTCTCTCTTTCACTTCTGAAAATTCATTGGCCATGAGACTTTGGATGCCCAACTAAGCTGAAATTTAGGATACCTTCAGAGAGGAATTAGGAAGTAGATGATTAATCTATCAGTAGCAAAATCCAGGATGGTGCCAAGTGTTACATCGAAATTTGAAGGCAAGAGATTCCAATGTCTTAAGTGCTTTTTCAATATAGCCAATTAAAGAAATTTCCCAAATATTTACAGTTGTGAGTCATTTTATATATTATGGATTTACTTCGCCACATTATGAGAAGTAGAATTTAGAGAAAAATAATCTCTCTGGGAGTCTTTACTACTGGAGATGGCAGGACGGGATTTGCCAATGTGATCAAAATATAAGATATTTAATAATGACTTTTTATACTAAAGATATCAGTAATAATCATGAAAAATTTAGACAACATAGTTGAAAATAAAAATGTAAACCAATCATTATCCACCACCATCATACAAATACTCGTCCCTGGATGCATAATAGCTCAATGATTAGTTCTTTCAGTATGTAATAAATTAGTGTGTGTTTTTGTATCCTTTGCATTAAATTCACATAGACTCATGCTGAGTCTCTTAAACTAATATTTTTAATGAAACTCATGTGAATGTGTCATAACATCATAGAAAAATTCCTTCTAGACTTGAGCTAAGTTTCTCTTCCTTCTGTAAACATTAGCAAGAGAAACAAATCCATAAAGAATAATTTTAATAAAATAAAACAGCAACACATCATTCACTCTTTAGCCACCTCCATGCTACCTTTCTGTTACCAGATTTCAGATTAAATTCTTTCATTAAAAAAATTGTAACATTTTAATCACACTAAATGAATCAAAAGCAAGGGGAGAAGAGTCATTCATTGATAAAATTAGGGGTAATTACCATATACATAAAATCGTCCTTACATATAAATTAATATTCTGTCTGGCAAAGACTTTTATCCTTAAAGTAATCATAGTAAAGCATTAGCTACATCATGTTTGGCAATTGAGATAGAAAGAGTAGACTAGGGTGGCGCCTGTGCTCAGTGGGTAGGGTGCCGGCCCCATATACTGAGAGTGGTGGGTTCAAACTCGGCCTCAGCCAAAGGGCAACAAAAAATAGCCAGGCATTCTGGCAGGCGCCTGTAGTCCCAGTGACTCTGGAGGCTGAGGCAAGAGAATCGCCTAAGCCCAGGAGTTGGAGGTTGCTGTGAGCTGTGATGCCAGAGCACTCTAGTGAGGGTGACAATGAGAGACTCTGTCTCAAAAAAAGAAGAAAGAGTAGACTAGTTTGCATTTATATTGAAAGTGCCTTAAATTAAATTTCTTAAGAAATGCTTTGTGTATTCACACCAATATGAATGCATAACCTGCATGTGTGTACAGAGACACACAAGAATCACGACATTCTCTGGTTGCGAATAGCAGGCTTTAACCTAATCAGTTGCTGATTTTTAGTAAGTTTGCCTTAAAATTATTCTATTTAATATCAATCAGTAATTCAAAATTTATTTTAAAACTCTACTACAGAGGTGCTAACCTTGAAACTAGTACAGTCCTTTTAGATAAACTATTAATACCCAATTTAATAAAATATTAATGCTGAATATAAATTAATAGCAAAATTTATAAAATATGAGAAAACACAAGTCAGGAAAATATTATAATATTTTTCCTAGTGACAATAACACTATAAAGGATTGGCTTCCACACACTGGGTTTTCTATGAAAATTCCTCTCAAGTGAGTTTTTTGACACGTATGTGGAAACCATTTCTCTATTTTATGATAATTGAAGCACACTTTTTGACATATTTATTGGAACGCTACACCAAATCAGAAAAAAGAGAGTAGAACTGTCATGTACGCAGTGACCTTTAGAAATCATTTTCTTCATATTTAGACATCCTGGCAATAGAAGAGCTAAGTTTTCATACTTCTTTATTTCATTCAGAATATGATCAGTGATAAACATTTCCCCATGATCCACTCAAGATCAATACATTCTTTTCCTCCTCCAGTTGAGGAAACTTGCATTCCCTCTTTGTTTTTTAGTACTATTAAGACTGTCCCAGTGTTTTAGATAATATCTTATCACTGTTAAATGAGAACTATTACCAAAACCTCACATTGATTAATTTTAGTTTTTGTAACATTTTATTATCATTACTACAGTCTATTTCATTTTTATCTTTGCAGTACTTTTGTAATTTGTATTTTATGTTTAGGTATTTATGGAACTCTTATTTTAAGAGTTTTCCTATTGATAAGTAAACTAAAGAGTATGGGTTTGGATGTCCCACACAATCCCAATTTATATTGGATTCTTATGAAGTCATCGTAAGTTCAGGACACACAGACTTCCCTCATACTTCCAAAATATTTGCTATATCTCCAAAATTAACAGCATTTATATAGATCTAATAGGATTTTAAAAACTTTAATTCCACAGTTTAACAGTGCTTTTATATAATATAAAATTCAATCAAATTACTCTTGACTAATGAGTAAAAACTCATTAAGATATGTACACTTACAAAATCATTAGCTTGATATTAAATTAAAGTTTCTTATCCTGGAAGGATGTATTATTTATAAAGTCAAGCTAATTATATTGTCAATATTTTCTCCTTAGATATTTTGCTATTTATTACTTTTGTAATCTGAAATTTGGTATTATAAACTTACTTCTTTATCAAAGGGTATATTAAGAATAAGGAGAAGAAAGATTGTTGATATCCAATTTTACCAAAATGACCTCTGTTAAGAAACCAGTAAAAAAGAACTTAGTGATAGATACCATTAATTTTTAAGGTGATTTTGCAATGTTTTCTTAGTAAATCCCACATAAGGTATGAAAATGATATCTATATTTCAGTATTCTCCAAGGTAATTATTTATTTTAATAAATAGGATATAATGTGGCCCTTTAAAAACTTTGGTGATGGGGTGTGACCCTTATTCATTTTCAAAAATTATCATTTGCATCTCAATTACCTTTACTTATTCAGATTAAAGGTGGTTTGAAATACGTTCTTGGATAATACCTCTATGATGTTTTACCTACCTTGATCACATAAAATTATCAAAATACCTTTAATATATTTCAGTAACTAATCACAAGTGATCCAAATATTTTCTACATCAGCATTTGGATGCAGAATATTAAGGAAACTACAAATCTATATGTCATTCATAACTCATTTGTGCCATCCAATTCATAACCCCCCAAAAGTTTAACCATGTACTTGGTTTTGAATGGAAAGAAGAAAAATTGTTTTAATTTCATATATATGAAAAATTATACTTATAAAAAAATCATTTTCATCTTTGTCAAGACTAGAATTTATGGGACTATATTAAATCCAGGAAGATGGAGAACCCATATTAGAGGACAATTTTTTCACAATTTGATTTAGAAATATTTTCATGAAATGGTTTTTGTATTATTTTCTTTCAAAATCTTAAGTTAGCCATGGAGTGCCTTTGCTTATGAATATTATAAGTTTTTAAATGTATTTTATTTGTTCTATGGGTGAAGAAGACCTAATTAGTAAAGAATTAGACCTAATTAGTAAAGAATAATATTTACTATTAGTAAATATATAATTCCGTTTTCCTAAAATTTTATTATATGAAATTCCTAAGAGGATATAAAAAATCTAGAGTTTGCTTAGATTTTAGTAGTGTTGAACATTTTTGATCTAAGATGCTCACATTTTAAAACCTACTATGAATGTTTAAAACTTAATTATCGTGTGTAATAAGTAAAATTATTGTTTGTTCTCTCTCACCTTGAACATACAGATGTGACAGGCAAGGCAGGGGAAATGTAATTCCACATGTAGCTTTGACTTCTGTAATTAATGACGGTCCTATCCTTAGATTCCTTTTAAAAGTAATTTTAAAAAAATATTCATCCACTCAAAATGACTAAGCATAATTTTACGTACTGATATGCATGCTTAGATATTTTTCAGGGGTATATTTTTACTTTATGGCAAGAACCTCCCATTTGGGCTGCATAGAGTTCAGTAACCTCCAGATCGTCAGTGCCGTGGTGATCTTATTAGTCATGTGTTTTCTTCCCCTTTTTTGTTCTTTTTCTTTTTTTTTCTTCTGTTTCTTCTTTCATTTCAGAGACTGGAGTTAATCTGAGGAGTGCCACTTCTTCTCTCTCTCTTGAAAAAATTGCCACTGATATTTTTACTGGATAAAATTAAAAAAAAAAAAGTTTCAATTCACGAAGGCTGATTGTTGAGCTGGTGTCCTAGAAGAAATTGGCTGCAGGAGCTGAGGCCCAAGTCTCTGATGCTGGCGGAACTGGCTCCATCGCACCATGGTTCATCCTCTTTTCAAACCAAATTTTTTTTCTTCGGCCTACGACTAATTTTTTTTTTTTTTTAAAGAAAGAAAAACAAAGCCTACATTGGCATCAAGTTCTGTATCAACCCATCTTACGTTGCCATAAATGATTTAACAGACTGTAGAATCTTGAATAATCTATATCACTTTAACAAATAAATGTTTTACTATGACGGAATTTGCACATTGCCTGATTTCTGGAAAGAGCTATTGCTTCAAGTATGAATGGTGAAGTGATTATTGAAAAAACTGATAACACCGTTTTGCCTTTAGGTAGTGCAAAAGCCTTAAGGGAGTACAAGTTGCTTTATAGTATAGAAATTAATTTTTCCATGACGAGGCACACCCAGTGCTACAGAGGAGCAGTACGGCTTTTTAAACAAATTTATAGCAATTTTATGCCTTGGGTAAGACAGTGAGTGATGAGGGCTCTATTCTAGTGGGACTCTGAAAAGATCAAGGTGGGTATGTTGTAATTAATCCAGTTAATTTGTTGCTTTTCTACAGAGCTGGACTGAAACACGTTTTGATAATTTCAGGCCTTGAAAGTGTAAGTGTACATTCTCCAACTTTGCAGGATTTCAGGGGGCGAAAAATCATGCCTTTGATTTATCACCAGCGTATATAGAACTGAGGTATCATTAGTGGCTAATATATTTTAAGTCTCATTTATGCAGTATCCAGCCTTTACATATGAGAGTTGCTCTTGGTGTGAAGCTCTTCTGAGGTGTGTGAATTAAGCCAGTGACACTCCCCTTCTAATTTTCCATATTGTCATGGGGTATACATTAGCATAAAATTTGAAAATATATGTAAATTATCACTATGTATGGCATAGGAAATAAGTTCAGCGAAAATATCACAGGTAGCATTGTTTTTGCTAAGTGAGTCAGCTTCTCTACAAATATTGAAGATTATATTTCTATTCCTCAACAATTCTAGTAGCATTGAAAGCAATAATTAATTCAATTTTAAATACATATATATATTGAGAGTTCAACCCAAAGAAGCTAGAGAATGGCTTGGCTTTGAAGAAATTTAGGTTAATTGGTAGCCAGCCCACATTTCTTGGACTGCAGAGGATATAGAACGTTAGGCAGTCAAGTACATTCACACGGGAACATGTATGATTGTGTGTGTTCACACGCACGCACATCCTCACCTCCAGACACACACGTACATCCTCACCTCCAGACACACACACGCATGCACATCCTCACCTCCAGACACACACGTTTCCAGACACCCAAAACCTAAAACTGAAGCAGAAGTTGCATGTTTGACTTGCAATTTTGTAGTTAATTTGTGAAATTGGACCATTTGCCTACTTCTCTGTTTCTTGACAACTTTATGCCATGTAATAACCTGCGTATGGACGTGTGGCATATTACACAAATACTTACAATGACAAACGTGAGTCAGATTGAACACTAAGACGTTGCCGCTCAGGATCCTACCTACGTTACAACTTTCCTCCTCAAACGCGGCACCATCCCGAGAGTCAGGAGCAGTCACGGCTTCCTGCATCTCAGCACAGGGGAACAGATTAAGGCTGCTAATTTTCTTCCAGGACATTATCCTGTTCCTCCCACCCCTCTGGGGATCAATCTTTCTTTTATCACCAATGATAACAACACGGTGTCCATAGCCTGATCTGTCATCTACTTCATTTCTCCAGGATAGTCACAGTACCGTTTCCTAATAAACAATTCTTTTATGTATTAGAACAAAAACTTAATCACTTTGAGTTTTCACCCTACATTGCCACCCGGGAAACTAAAATGTCCCTTTATGCAGGCACCAAGCAGCATCCCTCAGACGGTCCTGTCGTATGTAGTTTCTCTTTTCCTAAATGCTGTGAGGAAGAAATCACAGTCTCTCGTTCACAAGGTCTGTGATAACTGATTATCTTTTGGAATGTTATTTACTTATATTAAGATGATGGAGAGAGCAGAGGTGTGTACCCATAATGAGATAAGATTAAGGATCATTCATAAACAAAATTTTAACAAAAATTGAGAAAACAATGTTTTGAAAATAAGTGGGAACAATTTTAGTTATCAATATGTTAGTTAGCTTTGCTGGGTATTTATAATGTACAAGAGTGGACTGGTGACCTCTGCTATCAGCGGTCTCACGGATAACATAAATGGACATAGAGGGAAAACCATTTATATTATTTCTGAGGAATTTTGGAAGTAATGTAAAAATACATAAATGCTGACATCTTATGACACAACTTGCACATAGAATGTTATAAATCACGTGAAGGACATTGAAAAAAAAATCCAGGGAGAAGTGTTCTCAATGTGGCATACAGATACCCGAGAGGGATCAAAGTGGGCTGAACATTAAGTTTTTATTTTGAAAATCTATACAAATTTTTTTAAAATTCATAACAGTATGTAAAACTGAAGGTCAGTATGGAGACTGTGTTATTAGTTAAAAGGAGTAATTTATACATTGAAAGATGCCTTGATATCTTTTATATTTAATGTACAATTTAGTAGTTCCCAGATTAGTTTTGTACAAGTTTCAAATGTCAATTAAATTACATAACATCCCATGTCATATTTATGCAATGTTTTAGGATACATTTTTGATCATTTTTTATAAAATACATTTATAAACCCAGATCATTTCTTCTCTCACTCTGTTTTATATATGCAAGGAACTTATTTAACTTGTAGCCCTCTTATTTTTATTTCTAAAATGTATTTATACTGACATTTCTTAGAACTCCTATTGAAATACTTGTGTGCATGTGCGTATCAAGGCATGTGAAATGATTTTAAATTGCAAATGAGGTGCAATATGGTACCGACAACCAGAGTCCCTAGCACGTGATTGTTTTATTTAACATAAAAATGCAACAGAGAGAGAAACTGCTAACGCTTCATCTTAAAAGTATTTTGTCAAAAGTATGTAACATAAACTTGGACATTTTTAGCCATTTTTATGTATCTGTCAAAGGCATTCATTACATTCACATGTTTGTCCAGTCTTTTCTAAATACTTCTACAAAAACCATTTTAAATGTTTTCATCATTCCAAACACAAACTCTATACCCATGCAGCAATAATATTCATTTTTGCACTTCCAGACTGTGATAAATTGTAACCTATGTTTTTCTCTCTAAGAATTTGCCAATTATAGATTTTGCACATAAGCAAAATCGTACACTATTTGCCCTCCCCTGTCTTCCTTCTCCATTTGTTGTGACATATGCAAGGTTCACTTAAGATGAAGCATAACTCAGAAGTTCATTTCTTTTTTGATGGAATAACATTCTCTCTCTCTCTCTCCCCATCTCTCCCTCCCGCCCTTCCCATCTTCTTTTCCCTTCCTCTCTCATCTGTTTCTCTCTCTCTTCCTTTTGAGAGATAATATTGTTTGATGTTTACCCACTTCTCTTTTGAAGAACACATGTTATTTCAGTCTTTTGCCACTGTGAATAATGCTGCAGTGAACAATGGTGTACAAGCATCTGTTTGAGTTCCAGTGTATGATTCTTTAGAGAATATATCTGGGAGTAGAATTCCTAGGTCATCTGACAGTTTAGTTTGGAGATTTTTGTTGAGTGTTTGAGGGACTGTTAACCTGCTTTCCACTGTAGCCAGACAATTTTGCATTCTCTCCAGGAACTTGTGAGGGTGTTCGTGTTCCAGTAGCTCTGAATCGTAGGTGTAAAGTAGCTCATTGGTGATAAATGATACTGAGCATTGTTTTAGATGCTTATCAGTCATTGGTATATCTTTTTTCCCCTTTTTTTTTCTCTGTTTAAAATCAGACCCCAAACAAACATCAATTCAAACATCTTCAAAGTACATCATTTGTACAAGAGAAATACTAAGAATGTGTTTACAGAGATCCCAACATATATGCATGAAAGCATCTCTCACACAGCTTTCCGATGGTTTGCTGGAGCAGCCACTTGGTAATCTCTGGCACTAAATGTCCCAAGTATACGGAGCACCATGTCTACTGAGGTCACTTGTATATCTTACATGTATTTTGCTTTTTTAGTTCTGGGTCATTTGTCTTTTGCTGTAGAATGGTTTATCTATTCTGAACACCAGCCCATTCTCAAATATATGATCTGCCAATATTATTCTTCTACGTGTGGGTTGCCTTTTTTCTTTCTTGATGTTATCCTTTGACGAGGAAAACATTTTAGTTTTCATGAGTCTCAACTTAAGGTTCTGTTCTTACTGCTCAGGCTTTTGCCTGTATTTGGGAACCTACTGCCCAACCCAAGGTCATGAAGATTTACCCTTTGTTTTCTTCTGAGAAAGCTCTTATATTAAGGTGGTCTATTTATTTTGAGTACTATTTTGAAAATAGCCTAAGGTAGTGGTCCACTTTTGTTCTTTTGGATATAGAAATACATTTGACCCAGCATCATTTAATGGATTTGAAGTCCTATTGTCAAAAGTTAATTGGCCAAATATGTATGGGTTTACTTCTGAGGTTTCTATTATATTCCATTAGTCTGTCTATCTGTCTTTAGATAATTACTACGGTGTTTTCACGAGGAAATGTAAGTCTACCAACTTTGTACTTTGTCAAGTTTGTTTTGGATATTCAAGGAACCTTGCAATTCCATATTAATTTGAAGTTTAACTTACCATTTTTTTAAAATAAGAGCTCTTGAAATTTTGATAGAAATGGTATTGAACCTATAGATTCCTTTGAGTAACAATGACATGGCAACAATATTAAAATTTCCAAACTATGAGTATGAGATATCTTTACATTTACTTGTAATTTTTTTTTATATATTTCAACAACGGTTTGCTAAAATTTAGAAACACGATTCTTCTTGTCGATCTTTTACTCTGTAAAATAGTGAGCTCTCATAGCTCTTTTGTTGATTTGGGAATTTGTCTACATATATAAGGGCATGGTTGTCTGTGAATAGAAATAATTTACTTCTTCCTCTCCAATTGGGATGGCTTTTGGTTTTTTTGTCTAATTTTACTGGCTAGAAATTCCAGTAGAATATAGAATATAAGATGTAAATGGATGTTCTTTTATTGTGTCTGCTATTAGGGGACATTTTTTGATTTTTCATGGTAAGCCTAATATGAGCTGCGAATTTTTCATACAATGCCTTCAGATGTTAAGGAATTTCTGTTGTGTTTTAGTTTTCTGGTGTATTCTATGTGAAGGG